TATAGTCGAGAGACAAAGAAAAAGAGAAAAAAAACAACTGTAGAAAAGATTGAGGGAAACAACGCCACGTCGGCGAGAAATTGACTGAAGTCGAGATGCTAGGTCAGGATCGATAATATTTCAGACTCTTCTGTAAATTTTCTCAAGAATCTCGAGATATACAGCAGGCCAGATAAGACAGCAACATTCAACGCACGAATGAATGGTAAATTTATAAATATGCAAGATGGATTCTGATGATAAAAAAATTTCTGCCACGACACAGAGTACCAACATTCCTTGCAGTAGATGTAGCAAATGATTCGATACAGTCGCCCCACTTCATGTCACTGGAAACCGGGAGGCCAAGAATGGCGAAGATTGTTGCTTTCCTTGAGTTTTACTGTTTGATTTTGACATCTCCAATTCTTAGTTCGTATCTTGGGCTTTTCTCTGGCTTGCTAATAGTACATGTTCTTTTAATACAGATTTAGGGCCCTTATCTTTATTTGTATAACCGAAATGGTAATTGCTTTGATGTCTGTTTGTAAAAACTGTCCTGCTGCGCAACAATATTTGACATCACAGCTTACATGAGCTACATTAAATAAGGCCATCAGTCATAAAATATCTATGCAGTATATTAATGTATATGTAGGCCAGAATTCTGCTTATGGTTGAAAGTTAAATCACATTTAGCCAATAATAATATTAAATTAATTCTACATGAATTTAAGAGAGCACCACTCTTAGATATTGATACGCAGAGGTGTTAGAACATTTGTTTTCCCGACCATGAGATCTGTGCTCGAATCTCACCATGGTTGGATTGTTCGTTCGGTTGACTTCTTGATATTATCGACATGGGCAGACGATATCAGGGCGGCACCTTTGGAAAGTATCTGAAAGACCATACCACGGGTGAATCCAAGTCTTATGAGTGAAAATTGGTAAGCGGAACCTTTCGATGTTTGTGCTAGGACGAATTCACAAGTCATTATGACCGAGTGTTTGAGCGTACTGGCCTTGTTCAGATTATGCGTCACTTCCCAGACACTGTAACTAGGGTCCCCTCAGCATAGTTGTAGTTAAGACCACAGCTGGACTTTGAGTTGAGCGGGTGTTTGTAATAAGGATTTACTGGTCGCCATGGCAAACGGATGAGCTCGGAAAATGACTAATAGCCAGCCATCATTTTTAGATACATAACTTGATTACGGTTGGATACAAGTTTGTTCTTCTTAAAAACCCTTACTAAATTAATGTACTCTTTTACAAATACAGATGTAGTTCTTTCTGGCTGAAAAGATGATCTGGTCTATTGTAAAAGAAGACAGAAATAGTAGTGCCTAATTCCAGACCGTGCCAAGTGAATCCGTGGATAAATAACCCAATATATTGAAAACGGGATTCGTGTTATCTTTTCTCGTTGTAACATGATTTCACTTTATGTTCCCGTGGGAACATACCTCGAGCCATTAACAGTTTTGTTCCCACTAACGTAAACGAGATTCGAAACATATCGTTGGACAAAGCTATCTAGCCACTTAAAAAATTGTGAGAGGCTTGTATGTTTACATTACTGCATGTTGTTTTCTATACCATTTATTATATATAGGTTATTATTACTGAAATTCATCAACGCTTGCTAAACGTTTACGGAGGCCAAGCAGTGGATAGGATCAGACTTGAGTAGAGGTTAATACATGTGGCGACAGCGATTTTGGTGAGAAACCACGTTCTGGTCGGGTGTGCACTGAGGAGGTCTTGGCCACTGTGCCAAATGTGCAAAACATTGTATGGAACCCCCGTTTTGGGGATCTCTTAGATGACTGTTTGAGGCAACCATAATAAAGTTGTCTTCTCTTTCTTCTCTCGGCCGGGTGATCGCTAGTTGGTTTTTAATTCGAAGGTAAAATGAGAACTTCAACTTACTACTTTATTAAACACTTCGACGTGTACGTTTTTAACTAGTCAGTGGGATTGTAAATTGTGTATATAAAATTTAATCTGTTGTTTCAAACATGTATTTTTTGTCGTGATTGAATATCGTTACCATTTGGCCATTTCTTATAATTTACGTCTGTTGATATTGCATATTTTATTTACAGCACAATCTTAAATATTTACGCAACCTTCTTAGATCCACTACATAAATTTTATGTCATGATACGTGCAAAGGTATATTTTAGAGAAAAAGTTCTTTGCTGTTTCGGAAATGTTCAATGTCTAAAAAGTTGTCTGCCTTTGATTAAAAGGTTGAATTTAACTTAGACAAAGGATTTTCTATGAAAGTGGAAAAGTTTTTTGTGTAAATTTTTCTAATCACTCATAAAGGAAATTTGCTTCTTTGGCGGCACATAATTACGTGTGTATCTTTCGCGTGTGTGAGTCTCAAATGCGACGAAAATTCGTTTTCTATTTCTATTTATAGTTTTCTTAACAACGAAGTCGGCTCCTATGAGGCTTTCTCTGAGAAATGCGTGGGGGAATCTTGTATTTTTTAGCCAATAGGATTTCTTGAAACATTTAAATTAAGGATGAATTTGAGAAAGATTTTTTATGTCAGTTGAGCCAATTTTTTCACAATCTTAAATATTCACGCAACCTTCTTTGATCCACTACAGGGTCGCTGTATCACCCCCCCCTCCCCACTGGAGAACAAATTCACCGAGACACGAAATAATCACGTCTACTGTGTATGACGTGTAAAACTTAACTCCCTGAAATCACTTTCTGTCTTTCAGCCAATCAAAATCGACATCCCTATTTTGTCTACCATGTCAGCTTCAGAATGTCGGAGTCAAAATATACTGTCACTAAAAAATAGTAGTTTGAAACTATTATTTAACATTCCTTACCATCAAAAATAACTAATTTATGAATTTTATTTCAACTACATTATATGTAACAAGTAAAAGAGACTCAAAAATGTATAATCAACGGTGGTGACTATGTTTGAAAATAGCATTTTGTAGTCGAAAGGTTGCTCTATCCCACGGTGTTACTGTGCACTTTGGATATGTTATAATTTCCGTTGAAATAAAGACCTTAAAATTTTACAGGAAGACCAACTTTCCTGCTACCACGATTTCACTGCTTCTGGTATTGTCAGATATTTACCCTGTCTCCCCATTGAGACGGGATGTGACACAAGGTAGGATTTAATGTGGGGAACCCGAGCGCGTACACACGGACCAGGGCCAAAAATTGCGCTGCCCCCACAACCGCCGGTTGCGCAGGCATCGGTATGACTACCGGTCCCCCCACTCTCTGCCATGAGGCGGGGGCACAACCGCGGACAGCTTTTCGTCGCGACCAGGTACTTCTTAATATTTTCGGACAGAGACGCAACTGAGATGTGATTACACTAACTGGCATGTACCAAGTATTGTCAGGCAGAGAGAAACAGGTAGATAGAGAAAAATGCTTTATAAATATAAGCGAATGGTGAAAAAGAATAACCGAAAGCGCTCGGACATATAGAACACACACACATATATACATACATTATATATATATATATATATATATATATATATATATATATATATATATATATATATATATATATATATATATATGTGTGTGTGTGTGTGTGTGTGTATATATATTTTAGGCCGTAGGTATTCATCTAAACAAATTTGATTAAAAGGAGCCGACAAAGGTCAGTCTGTTTAATTTTTTATTGTATTTTTCCAATTTTCGGATAAGGTGTTGATTATTATGTTCAATGTTGTAGATAAATTGCCCAAAGTTTATATTTTGTTATTTTTTTATTCAAGTGCTTTTGACTTTCGCTGTCATTATCAAGAACCGTTGTGGAGTCTGTGTGGTAGTAACAAATCCTTTGTCTGCATCCTGGTATTCTTTGCGAAGCTGAATGTTGGAAATGGTCTAGCATGACCTCCTGTGTAACAGCAATTGGGAACGAGGCTGCACAAAATGAATGCGATTTATTTCATTCTTATTTCTTATTTTATAATACTGTTAAATATATGTGCGCAAATTAATTATATTATATGCACGTCAAGATACTTTCTATGATACTTAATGTGGGCTGCTTATTTTGTATAATAATAGTCTTGAGTCTTTTTTTTTTTTTTTTGCATTGAGTGCTGTAGAGTTTTTTTGGCGTTTATCTAATAGTATTTGTCTTATGTTGATAGTTGTACTTTGATCTTTCATAATATGCTGATCGATGTGTGCACGGATTGCACACAGTTTTGACAGGTGACAGGACAATCTGTGAGAGTGTGGTACACATGTGCCCAATTAAACTTAGAAAGAAAATGACACCAGATCCCTCCCTGAAGCAAACAAATATAAACAAACCATGAACTTATGAGCTTATGTAAATGAATGGCAGAACAGTGTTTAGGAGTGATTACAAAAAGACAAAGTTTACTAAGAGCTACAAAGAACAGGAAACTGTGAGGAGCCAACGTTCTGAAGAGTCACAACACATAGAAGAATAAGTTAATGTGCAGACGGATATTGAGATAGTGATCAGATACAGATACATGGCCTTCTTCTAGACTGGTTGCCACCTGTGGCTATAGGACCCAATCTGCCCTGCCATTTTACCCACAGTAATATATCTTTGATTAACTGTGTGTACGCTGCAATAGAAAAGGGTAGATTTGTATGTAAATGTTTTCGCTTCAAGAAGGAAGCTTATGCTTAACATAAGGAAGAGGCAGATGAAATTTCTGGGACACGTGATGAGAAAGGAGGGCCTAGAGAATCTGATACTCAAAGGACAAATAGAGGGAAAAAGAGACAGGGGAAAGCAGTGCATGACATACGTGGCGGGCTTGGGCAGGTGGATGGCGGAGTGTGGTCTGGGAGAGTTGTCAGAAACACAAAACCTGTTGAGAGCCACAAGGGATAGGGGGAAGTGGAGGGCCATGATCGCCTACGTCCTGAAAGGACACGGCACATAAAAAAAAAAAAAGAAGTAATAAACCAAAGACAAATATCTCTGTTATCTCATTTCAGCGGAAAGCAAAGACAGTAACATGGACGTGGAGGGTCGTAGCGCCAACATCATTTACCAGCCGACTGTCGAAGAACAACGAGCATTTTCCGAAAAAGGACTTCATGGCCTCTATACCATAAAGTACGATATTTTACACGGAAAGACCAAAGGTGATATTGTCGTAAGTAGAAATTGTTAATAACTATTTCTATACTTATCACGGAAAAGTAACAAACTGCTTTAACATAACATAAAAAAGCTACCCGATTATTATTGATTTGTTTTTGCGGTTTATCACATTGTATGTGTTTGTCTCGGAATAATCTGAGTATTCTTTCTTTAGTTTTAATTAACAACAGTATTGGCGGAGCTATGCACTCTCTGGGTGCTTTCAATTTTTAATAATCCCCCTTAAGTAAAATATACAATACATCACGAGTAAATATCAGTTTAAAAATCCATATATCATCGTGAACCCTTCAAAAGCTATATTCAGTTTTAATATAAAAATAAAATTTCTTCGTTCATTTTGTGTTTATTTTACTATTTTTATTTTTAGCTATGGAATGGATACTTCATCCACTTTTTCTCGCCTTCAGGCTTGACTCCTTTACCCAAGGATATTGTTTTTGTGCTGGATGACAGTACGTCTATGACTGGCAACAAACTTAAACAAATGAAAGAGGCTATGTACATGATTCTTGAATCCCTCAACAAAAACGATCGTTTCAACTTTATACAGTTTAGTAATATAATTACTCCGCGAGAAACTGGATTTGTCAGGGCGACCTCAAGTAATATCAAAGCAGCTAAAGAATATGTACGCAACATTTTCATTGCTCGCGGAGGTAAGTGTAAAACTACAATTGAATAATCTCTCTATATAAAACAGATGTCTGAATGTCTGTCTGTGCGATACCTTTTCCCTCGAGATCCATCCTACGGATTTTGACCAAACTTGGTACATACATTGTGCAATGTAAAAGATAAGGTCTTAGCGTAAAAAAATCAATAATTTTTTTAAAAATCAATTATCGATAAAATCGATCAAAAATCGATAAATTCAACTTTTTCCTCTGATTTCGTTCATATTCGATATGTAGGTTACTTACATAACTAGCTCAATGATACCTCATTTTTATTTCTACGTCACTGCGTTTAGCGAAAAACTGCGGGAAACCAAAAATCGATTTCAACACACATCGATTTCAACACAAATTTTAAACTAAAATCTCTCAATTTTCAAGCAATCTAATACAAACTTCACTCAATTGTAAATAAGTTGATTGTTTAACAGTCATTTAACTTGATAAATGAGTCCACCCATTTAGTAAAAACCCGCGTAAATAGCGAAAAATGGCGTTTTTACTGGTTTCTTTCTTATTTTTCATTGATCTTCCAACAAATTTTCATCAAACTTGACAGTTGCTTTATAAATGTATCCACTTTTACATCCCTGGTAGCACACTGATAAATTGAATTTCAAAATCTCCAATATAATTGTGGTCTGAAGTGGGTCTTCATGTTGCCTGTTTTACTCTTTCATCTCCTCGGCTAAATTCGATTGAATAAATACAGACTACTTCTGTTATATCAGTAACTGCATTAATTCAAAATGTTTTTTTAATGAAAGTACTTTAAAGTAATTGAAGAAGATAGACTCTGTTATATCAAACATTGTTGCTGTTTTTGCTCCATTCAAATTAAACTTTTTTTTCTGAACGACCTGCTGGATATGGCTACTAGTATGTAATATTATTAAGATTTTCTTTTTTCTCATGGTTTATAACTGATTAAGACTGAAGAATAAATCAACCAAAAAAGTCGTGTTACTAACACATAGAAGAGACGTAGATCTATAATAGAATATGCACTAATGTATATTCTTGTCACCGTTTATAAAATAGTGACGTCATGGTTCGTATAACCTCTCGTTGTGAAAGTCGCTTTAAAAGGCAAAAAATGACAAATGTTGGATATTTACTAAGTATCTATTCTTCATATTCTTCTAAAACACGTAATGTATATGATGTCTATATAAAACATTGCATATGTTCCAAAGGTTGAAATAGCCAGGCCATCCTGGGTATGACGATAAACTACATCCACGTCCTGGGTAAGACGTTAAACTACGTCCGACATCAAGACTTCTGATCAGGTTTTGAGGAGCGTGGAACCATCCCTTAATTGCTGGTGTTTCCAGGATGGTAGCACTTATTAGAGTCTCAGCTATGGGCAAATAGTTAACCCCTAGATTGGAGTCAAAGCACTATGAAAGTGTAAAAATAGGTTTTAATACCAGAAATACTTTTTTGTAAATTATTACCAACAATACATTTTTCGGAAAAAAAATATTACCGGTAATAAAAATTTTGTCGGCATTAAATAACCCATTGAGGTTGATATGCCGTAAAACAAAAACCAAACCAGACCATAGCCAGGAGTGATAGTAGGGCCAAGCCCCACTGTCTATAAAATGCTTTCGTGGCATGTGTCTCAAATAGCCTCTGACAAGTAAGTCCAGCTTCAAGCAGGAGAATGAGCGAAATCGGAAAATTGCCGCCTCATAACCAGCTGTTTCGGGTAGGTGAAGCTCGACAGCTCAGGAAGACAGCTCTTCTAAGGGGGGGGGGAACTGATTTTAAACTTCCACTGCCTCTCACTTATATTCAAACACGGAAAAAGTCTATGGAATTAAACCCAGGCAGAAAACCTGCAGTGGCGCCCCGAATGGTGTTGGCTGTCAACACTGACAACTTTCTGGCAACTCCTACAGACAAGTCGTCCCCAAATGTAATGTATTCCTTTGGATCCTGTCAGTATAGCCGAGAGGGGGTATGTAGTCTGGGAGGAGTACGTCCTCCATATACCATCGCCCAGGCCTCCACCCTGGGGAGATCAGACCAGTTTCACCACCAAAGAAATGAATTTTGATCAGACAAGGCGCTACCTTTTATCTTACGAGATAAACAGATACCTACAAAGTATTCTTCATTCAATTAATTACTATCTGAACTCACAGTCACAGATTATTTAATCTTATTTTCAATAACAACATTTTACGCTATTTTTTCTGTATTGATCGACCCAAGTCTTTTGTAAACTTCATAATGAATCACTGAAAAGGCATGACACCAATTCCCTGTATTTATCCATTAAATATCAAAGCCGGTTAGAATAGACTCTCTAACCTTGGTAGGTCAACCGGTCTATGAGAAGGCCAACTTTGAATTCAAAACCAGCCTGAAGAGGAATGGGCTCCGTCAGATCTGTCTTACCCTAGACACGCTGCTGCAGCTACATATGGTGCCTCCAATGACCCTAATGAGTTACTGGACACGTGATCATGACAGGATTTATTGACTTATTTTTATTATTTCCTTTGATTTCAAAGATACATTAAGGCATACAGAGACTGCCATATCAATAAGAAAGCAGGTTTTGTTTTTATAGTAGTTGATTATGTCAATGCGATTAGTTTTGATATTTGTTCTGTCTGTGTATTGTAAAGTCCAATAATTAACTTTCATTGTTACGGGTCCTATCTCTGTAATTGGTTCTGGGTGATCAGTTTTTTGCAATTTTCTTCTCGTTATTATTATTATGATTATTATTATTATTTGTCACATAGTGGAAGTTCTTGAATATACCGAGTACATTAAGTTACCTGTCAAGACACAATAAGGACGTCAGACAGACCACACTTTCCTCAAAATATGCACAGTGCCCAAAAATAAGCGATTTTTGGATGATTCCAAGTTGGCATGGTATCCCTAATTGGTCAAAAAAGTCACACCGTCTTAATGAGATTTGATCCCAATGCGCCAATTACTACCGGAATCACTTTGACATTCCCTTCCTACATTCTAAACAATGTTGCCATCTCAACTTTCAAATCCGAATAGTTCGAAATTTTCTCAATCACCTTGTTTGCTATATTTGTGTCATAAATATATATATATATATGGCAACATCAATAATATGACAATTCCTGGTGCCTTTATCTAGGACAACAATATCCGGACGGAGATGGTGTATCGCTCTGTCTGAAAAATCATATTCCCAGAATACTGAAGACTTTCCAACTTCTTCAATTCTTCTACAAGGCATGTGTTCATGCCAATTTTCTGCAACTTGGTATAAATATATTTTCGATACAATAACCAATGTACATGAAGACACACCTTATCATGGTGCTTCTTATATTCTTTTTTGGAGGGGGGCAGCATTTTGCAACTTCTGATCAGATGAGTCACATTCTCAGAATGTTCACCACTAAGCCTCCATTTTGGAGGAATTCATGTTTCGTGTATGTTGTGTTTTATGGCATTTGTAGCAAGGGCTTGGTCTTGTGTTGCAATTATCAAAGTTTGAATTGCATTATTATTATTATTATTATTATCATCATCATCATTCGATTTCTGCTATGGACACACTACCTACCAAGTCTGCGGAAAGACCTAAGGCAGGTCGTGGTGTGTTGTTATGGCCACATTTCAGGTTAATTTTTTTTTTTTTTTTTTTTTTTTTATCTCCGATGAAGTTGCTAGCGTTACATAGACAAAGTTCTCCTTAGTGTGTGTGCTGTACTTAATAAGACAATTTTCTGTATGTCTCTTAAGCTGGGGTTTCCAGGGATTCTTTCAATGTGTTGTTTTGTTCCATTTTTTATAATTCCAAGTGCACCTATTACCACTGGTATTATTCTTGTTTTCAATTTCCACATTTTTTCTATTTCAATTTCCAGGTCTTTGTATTTTGATAGTTTTTCAAATTCCTTGGTTGCTATGTTACAATCCGCTGGACAAGCCATATCAATTAGTAGGCAAGTTTTTCTTTCTGGTTTTTTGACAATAATGTCCGGCCTATTTGCTTCAATTTTTCTGTCTGTGTGGATGGTATAATCCCATAGAATGGTGACATCTTCTATTTCTGTAACCGGCGCTGGCCGATGTTCATACCAGTGTTTGCTTACACATTTTCCAAAGTGTTTGCACATTGTCCAGTGTAAGTATTGCCCCACTCTATCGTGACGATTTTTATATTCATTTGGGGCAAGTATAGAACATCCTGAGATTAGATGGTCTATTGTTTCTTGGTATTTGTCACAGAACCTGCATTTTGGATCCACATTATTATGTATGATATTTGCCTGAAAATTCCTAGTGAAAAGACTCTGGTCTTGCGCTGCAAGAATAAAGCCTTCAGTTTCAGACTTTAATCCAGATGCTCGTAACCATCGATGAGTATTAACTTTATCAACATTGGGTTTATTTGCACGTTCTGGATATTGGCCATGCAGAGGTTTGTCTTGCCAGCGTTGTTTCATCTGTTCAAGGGCTTTATCCTTGGCTTTCTTTTTCATATCTTTTGCTGCAATAGTTGGTTCTTGGCTTCTGTTTTGATTTACTACAGAATCTACTAAATGTAAATGTTGTTTTGTATTTACTGCCTTCTTTTATTATTGAATATTTTTTTCTTTCTGTTTTCATGTTGTTTCACTAATTTTATCATCCAGTCATTTGTTGTTTCCATGTAAGTTAGTAAGCCAATAGTTGTTGTCTTGTATGACAATTCTAGCTGAATAAGACCTCTTCCACCTTCTTTACGGGGTATGTATAGACGGTCTACATCAGCCTTTGGATGATGCATCTTATACTTAAAAGAAGCTTTCTTGTTTTAGAATCCATTTGTCTGATGTCATTTAGAGTCCAGTTCAAGATGTTGAAACTATATTGGACCACTGGGATGGCTAGGTTATTAATGGCCATAATTCTGTTCTGAGAATTCAATTCAGTTTTTAATACCAGTCGTACCCTTCTATAGTACTCTTTACGCACTATTTCTTTCATTTTCTTATGGTGAATTCCTTCACTCTCATTTACACCTAGGGTACTTATAAGCTTCTCCTTGTTCTAAATCTTTTATTATTGTTACAGCAGGGTCTAAACTAATAGAGGAAGTTTGTTGTAGCGATCCTCGTAAAACTGTAGCTTTAGCACATTTATCCAAATTGAATTTCATTCCGATGTCTTCACTGAAGCATTTTACAGTTTGCAGAAGACCTTCCAGCTCATTGTCATTCCTAGCATACAATTTTAAGTCATCCATGTAAAATAGATGGTTTATTTTCTTTTTGAGCTATTTTTGTAACCGCATTCTGTCTTGTTAAGTTGGCTGGTTAATGCTATAAGTGATATGCAAAATAATAAAGGAGACAAAGAGTCACCTTGAAATATTCCTCTATTGATGTTTATTTCGCCAGACTTATAGGTTCCATTTTTATGATTGAGGTAAAGTGTAGTTTTCCATATCGACATACATTGTTTGATGAAATTGATGATAACGGGTGATACCTTGTACATACTTAAAGACTTTAAGATCCAGGAATGTGGTACACTATCGAATGCTTTACGATAATCTATCCAGGCAATACTAAGATTTTTTTTTTTCACGGAAGCAGTTTTCCAGGATCATCCTATTAATAAGTAATTGGTCTTTACATCCGTAGCAGCCTCGTTTGCACCCTTTTTGTTCAAGTGGTAGTATGTCATTTCTTTCCAAGAAGAAATATGTCTGTTTTGTTAAAATAGATGTTAACAGTTTGTATGTTGTTGGAAGACATGTAATTGGTCTATAGTTTTCGGAATATTTGTGTCACTATTTTTGGGTAGAAGAAAGGTAACTCCTTTGGTCATCCATGCAGGAATTTTAGTTGGATCGGTAACCATTTCTTGAAGTTCTTTGGCGAGTTTTTTTGTGTGCTGTATTTAAATAATATAGCCAGAAGTTAGAATTTTATCTATTCCTGGAGATTTCCAGTTGTGTGCTTTTTTCAGTGCACATTTAACATCTTCTTCTGTGATTCCCGCCCATGTCTGTTCTGGTTTATTTTTCATTCGTTCTAACTCTTGCGCAATCCAATCTGCCTCTTCGTTGTGTTCTTTAGGGCAAGCCCATATTTTTCCCCAGAACTGTATAACTTCTTCCATTTTAGGGGGACTGTCACTTCAATTCTTTGTTTACCTATTTCCTGTAAAATTTCTTTGCATCGGTTTGAAAGATCTTGTTCTGTCTATAGAATCTTGATCTTTTCTCGTAGCGTCTTATTCTTTGAGCCTTCAGTTGTATTGTTTGCTTTATTTTTTCTTTTTAGTTGATAGGACTTCATTTTCATTCCTGATATTGTATTTTCTTTCGACTCTTCTGCCTTTTCTAGTTCTTACATTTACTCCTCTTGCTAGTTCATCAGTACTGATAATTCACTTCTAAGGTGTTCAATTTCTTTTCTATTTTTCTTTTCCAAGGTGGATCTTCATGTCTGTGAGACTGCCTTTTTTTTACTTTGATGTTCAGTTTATTTGTTGCTGCTATTGCTGATGCATATATTGCTTCATTGAGATTTATATGAGTGTCTTCTTCATCCAGAATCAATTTGAGTGCTGCATTATAGAGCTTAATAGTTTTGAGGTTATGCTTTGTTGGTTGTAATTTTGGGAGTTGTTCTCGTTCCTCCATTGCAATATTCTGTATCTGACTTATATGGCTCATGATTTCATCCTTGGCTTCTTGTATATTAATCTTGTTTTCTGTGAAATAATTCTGTTCGATGAATTTTGAACTCGTTTTATTACTGTCTTGTGACTGACTAAGATCATACCTTTCCAACATTTCTAAATTTTCAGCATTATCTTCACAGTGATTTGTGTGTATTTCGGTTTTTTTTCATTATGACCTGAGGCTTGTGTGATGTTACTACTTTTTTTTTTTTTTTCCTGATTCCGGTTCCTTTTCATGTTTTGTTGGTTCATCTATTCTTGTTGCAATTCTTTTTATTTCATTAATTTCAGCCTCTGTCAATCGGTTATTTCGCATGATGTCCCTTCTTACATTGGCTAGTTTATTTTTGTCTATGTACTTTCTAATTGTTTGCCCAACCTTCTCTCGCCAAATGTCATATGTTTGGCGAGTGATGTTTTTCTGAGGTTTGAGTAACGCTTCATGGAATGCAGTCATAACAACTTTGTACTCCTCACGAGACCATTTTATTTTTCCTTTCCTTAAATTTACGGTTATGGATCTAGCTGGAGAATTTACAGGACCATCATTAGGATTATCCTGGTTGTGGGGACCTGAAGATTCATTCTTTGTGTAGGAGTTTGTTCCTATGGCAGATTTTTCGACCTCAGGTAGGTTCCCTCCTGAAGGACGGGCTCCCTGTTTATCCACTGGAAGAGCCATACTGGACGTTTTGTTTCTATTTTTAATTTTCATATTAATCCCACGAGTGACACACGGGTCCAAAAGTCCACCCAAAGTTGCCCGGCACGTTGAGTAACGGTCTTTTACAGACAGGGTTCCGAAGCCTGTAGGGGATCGTTCGCGACCTCATAACGCAGTAGCCATTCACTCCTCGGCACGATTAACACCTTGAGTTGCGGGTTGTTGTTCGGAGTTTTCCTTCTCGTTTGGAAGAGCTTCTTAAAACACGTCATTCTCGTTGTAATCCCAACCGCGTCTATTATTATTATTATTATTGCTAATATTATTATTATTATTATTATTATTGCTAATATTATTATTATTATTATTATTATTATTATTGCTAATATTATTATTATTATCATTTTTATTTTCTTTGATTTCTGGCGTTTACACATTTCTTTCCAGGTCCCGCCCAGGGACCTAAGGTTAGAAATGGCATCATGACACTTTCCACTGACAAAAAAAAAATTACATAGACAAAGCCCTTCGTAAAGTGTGGGCTGTACTTGTCAGAACAATTTTTTTGTATCACTTTGAGGCATGGACTTCCAAGAATCCCTTCAATTAATCTACTGGAATCTTTTCCAACTAATCCTAGGGCTCCAACTACAACAGGGATTGTTGATATTCCCATATGCCACATTTTTGAGATTTCTATTTCAAGGTCCTTGTATTTTGACAGCTTTTTGAATATCTTCAAAGATACATTGCAGTTTGCAGGGACTGCCATATCAATAAGGAGGCACTTTTTTGTTTGTGGTCTTTAATAACAATGTCTGGGCGGTTGGCTTTGATTGTTCTGTCAGTGTGTATTGTGCAGTCCCATAGAAGTTCCTATCTCCGTAACCGGGTCTGGGTGGTGTTCATACCAGTTTCTTTCAGTTTCCTTCCCATAGAAGTTACAAATTTTCCAGTGCAGATATTGGCCCACTCTGTCATGCCGGGTTTTATATTCAGTGGGTGCCAATCCAATTATTATTATTATTATTATTATTATTATTGCTAATACTATTATTATTGCTAATATTATTATTATTACTAATATTATTATTATTATTAATTATTATTATTATTGTTTTTTAATAGGTATTACCCTATGCAAGGCAGTAAAGCCACTAAGACACAAGGGGTTACAGGGTGTGGAAGAATTAGGAACAGAAACATTAATAATGAGCGGAAAGGGGGAAAGAGTAATCAGGAGGACAATAGATAGCAATTGACATTGCATTTAAATTTTTGCAGATTGAAGTTGCCTGGAAAGTATGGAGCCAGGAGGGAGTTCCACAAACCAGAAGTGCGAGAAAAGAAACTGTTAGCATACAACTTACGGCTACATCTAACCAGCTCAATTGCAAATTGATGAGGTATCGACGCCAGTCTAGTACTGCGCCTAAATTCAATAAGTCTAGGTACCATAGCGAAGAACTATGGTACCTTGATAATTCCACTAAGTTGAAGGAATCGGAAACTAATTCTAAAATGAAAACAAGGATACTCATCTACTCCTTTAAAAAAAAAACGGAAAGGTGTGTGAACTAGACGATAGGTGAACCTCTCTATTACGATGAAATAAATATTAAATACACATTGATAATTATTTTATAGTTTGATGATTATCTACAGTGATCAAGAAAATGTTATCTTCCTTAATAAAGAATTATAAAGTTATCTCCCTTTATCAAATGGGACAGGACTATATACACATTGATAATTATCATATGGTTTGATTTATATTATATATATTATTACGAGAGTCTCTGATAAATGTTTTATTTTTCCACGTAATCAAAACGGAATTGTCCATTATTTATGAGGTATTGTGAGGAGACGTTAAACACTTGCTTCTTTCTTTCTTTCGCTTCTCATTCAAACCAAGTAGCGTTTGTCCCCTCTTTCCACGCAATCAAAACAGAATAGTCCATTATTTATGATGTATTGACAGGAGACGTTAGACACGTCTTTCTTACTTTCTTTCTTTTTCTCACTGAAACCAAGTGGTGTTTTTCCCCTCGTTCTACGCGATCAAAACGGAATAGTCTATTTATTATGAGTTATTGGCAGGGTGCAAATGTCATGCGAACTAACGAAGGGAAAGATAAGCATAATTATAATAGGATTTTTATTCTTATTGTCCTTATTTTTATTATTATCATTATTGGTGTTATTATTGTCGTTGCTATTATTGTTATTATTATTGTTGTTTTAGTTATTGTTATTATTAATATTGTTATTGTTATTATTGTCATTATTGTTGTTGTTCTTTTTATTGTTTTTATTATTATTATTATTATCATTATTATTGTTATTTACAGCTACTAATATCAATGATGCCATTATTAAGGGCCTGCAGCTGTTTGACAGACTTCCATACAAGCCCGAAGCTCGATCCTCGATTCTCTTCTTTTTGACTGACGGCCGAGCAACTGTCGGAGAAACAACCACGGAAAAGATATTGGAGAATATCAAATTACACAACACTCGGAAAATCCAGATCTTCGCCATTTCTTTCGGAGGAGATGCCGATTATACGCTAATGAAGAAAATGAGTTATCTCAATGATGGAGTACCTCGCCGTATTTACGAAGCGTCCGATTCTGCGTACCAACTGAAGCAGTTCTTCGATGAAATATCCAGCATATTAATTAAAGGAATCAAATTCAGTTATAGCTCTCCTTACGTGTATACCGACGACATAGCCTGGTCTCGATTCAAGAACTATTATGAGGGATCTGAAATTATAACGAGTGGTAAGATGTCTGAGGCCGAAATGAAACAACTGGGTTTAAGAATCAGTGAAAGAAAAGCCAGTGGCACCTATAACATTGATTTCCTATCTGATGCAATGTCAATCAACGAGAAGCCTCCCTTTATGAGTATGAAAGAATACAATATCTTGATGGAGAAAATGTGGGCTTTCCTTACTCTTAAGTATTGGATGAGACTTAAGTTGATGGGAGGACAGGCCGGCTACTTGGGGAGACTTAATGAAAAAATTGATGAGCTTTCTCTTAAGGTAATTTCAGTTCTCGTTTTAAAATATACACATAATATATGACCATCCAACGAATGGTGAAAATGCTTTTCATCTATATATATAAAACAGAGTATGTCTCTCTGTCTGTCTTTCGGTGTGATACCTTTTCACTTGAGATCCATCCGACTGATTTTCACCAAACTTGACACATACATTGTGCAACCTAAAAGATAGGTTCCTAGAGTTAAAAAAAATCGATAATTTTTTAAAAATCAATCATCGATAATTTTTTTTTCTCCAATTTCGTTCAAACTCGGTATGTAGGTTATTTACATCATGACGAGCTTAACGATACCTCATTTTTATTTCTACTCCACTGCGTTTAACACACATCGATTGCAGCACAAATTTTAAATGAAAAACTCTCTCAATTTTCAAGGAATCTAATATGAAATTCACTCAATTGTAGCCAACAATAAGTTGATTGTTTAACAGTCATTTAACTTGATAATTGAGTCCACCCATATAGTGAAAACCCTCATAAATAGCGAAAAATGGCGATTTTTACGGCTTTCTTTCTTATTTTTCGTTGATCTTTCAAATAATTTTCATCAAACTTAACAATTGCTTTATAAACGTATCCTCATTTATATCCCTGGTAGCACACTGACAAATTGAATTTCAAAAAACTCCAAAATAATTGTGTTCTGAAGTGGGTCTTCATGTTGCCAGTTTTACCCCTTTATGTCCTCGGCTAACTTCGATTGAATAAATACAGACTACTTCTGTTATATCAGTAACTTCATTAATTCAAAATGTTTTTAATGAAATTACTTTAAAATAATTGAAGACTCTGTTACATGTGAAGATGATGCTGTTTTTGCTCCATTCTAATTGAACGCCTTTTCTGATTGACCAACTATGTTTGGCTGCTAGTATGATTTATTTATTTATGAGTCACCGATTGAATAGAATTTTATTACAAACAATTGTCTTGTAAATGGAATTTTTAAAGCATTCTGAATGTAAAAATAAAGAAAAAAAGTGTGCAAGACAATAAGAAACACTACCTGCCAAAAAAAAGTGAAGTTTTGTTGAAATCGATTGACAAATGTAGGAAATCCGATCCCATATATAAACGAACACACACGCGCATACACACACACACACACACAAAAACAACATGGGTTTTATAATAAGTATAACTTGATATGAGTTGTCCCCCTTTCATTCTCGCGATGCCTCTTAATCGTGTTTTCAAATTGATTTTGTGCAAAAACAATTGTGTTTTTTCAATTTTTGGCGCTGTCAGAACCACCGCAAGGTAATTTTACGTAGTCCTGCGAAGTTTTGTTGAAATCGGTTGAAAAATGTAGGAAATCCGATCCAATATATAAACGTACAGACACACACACGCACAACCTGGGTTTTATAATAAGTATGATTAATGTTCCAAAGAACACATAGCCTTGTGGATAAAAGTGTTTGATTGATTGATCCAAAAGTGATTTGACTTGACCCCATCCCCCACAGGAGAGAGAACAAAATCTTGGAGAGTTATCTCGGGGATTTAACTAAAACGGAGATAATCCAAAGGCTTGGCACATGGAATTAGAACAATCTAGCCCCATGGACTAAATAAAGGGTCTGATTTGAAATTCTAATGAATATCACTTGAAGAAGGCCAGAGTGTACAACGGCCGAAACGTCATGAATATGGCAATAAAGATGAGGACAACAGTAAATTTTTACAATATCTCAAACAGATAAACAAGTAAAAGATGATAAAATTCATCGCCGGATCACTACAATCTGTTTCAAGTCTAGGGTCAACTGTTATCTACCCTGCATATCCTCATAATTTGTGCTTGCTTCCTCCTCTTACGTCCATACAACAACAACATCCATTAACTCTCTACCTTGAGAAGCTCTTAGATCTGGTATTAGCTTAACATTAAAAATACTTAACCCTTCAACAGTTGGAAATGGCTGTACAAATGAGCACACCAAACAGGTAAAAGGCGATAAAATTAATCCCCCGATCATTATAATCTTAACTTCTTCAAGTCTAGGGTCAACTGTTATCTATCCTACATATCCTCATAATTTGTGCTTACTTCCTCCTCTTATGTCCATACAACAACCTCATTTAGTAATACTCTACCTTGACTGGCTGTTGACCCTTGTATTAGGTTAACATTTAGTAAAAATAATTGACCCTTAAACGGCCGGAAAATGTTACACAAATGAGCACACCAAACAATTAAAAAAAAGATAAAATTCATCCCTGGATCACTACAATCTTAACTGCTTCAAGTCTAGAGTCAGATATTATCTATTCTACATATCCTCATAAAACACATTTACTTCTTCCTCTTACGTCCATACAACAACCTCATTCAGTAACCCTGTACCTTGCGCAATGCGTTTCGTCCTCTGAGGGACATTACCGAGGCTTGATAAATTCCCTCAGAGAACGAAACGCGTCAGCTAAGATAAGTTTTCCTTTTGTTTTTATTCATATTGTCCTTTTACTCTATCTGAATATTTTACACACACCCTCCCACACACACACATATATATGTGTGTGTGTGTGTGTGTGTGTGTGTGTGTGTGTGTGTGTGAGAGAGAGGGAGAGAGAGAATGATATTTGTTTCTCTGCCTTCACAATTGTATACCTGATAGATGATACTCAGCATTTTATATATGCATGTTTGTGTAGATATAATTACGAAAGCTGGTGAGTGTGTGTTTTATGTTGTAGTTTTGTTGAAGTTATATTTTGGAATACAGTTTGATTTATGAAATTATAGGATATTGTATGGATTAATGTCAGGAAGGAGTTCAGAAAATGATACATAATTGTTTATATATCAGAACAATTTTAGGAAAATTAATTACAAAGTGAAAGAAAACTTTTCGTGCGCGCGTTTCGTCCTTTAGGACTTCATCAGACTAACGTGATGGTTATGTTGACATAATTACACATGCGACCAAAGGGAAGGGGACACTGCAATTTAAAACTTTTATTTTTTTTCTTTAAATTGTGTTTGAGTATATACCCTACCCGACTTCATTTAGTTTCTTTTTCTTTTTTGATTGTTTTTATCACATCATTATTGTTATATATACTAACATACTATATACTACTTATATACTTATATATATATATATATATATATATGTGTGTGTGTGTATATATATATATATATATATATATATATGTGTGTGTGTGTGTATATATATATATATATATATATATATATATATAGAGAGAGAGAGAGAGAGAGAGTTAGATAGATATTAGTGAATATATATAATATCCAACATCGATAGCACGACGTATGCTATCGACGTTGGATATTATGTATATTCACTAATATATACTTAAAGCTCTGTCACAAAAGTTGAACACTGTATTTATAATACCTGAGGTAGAAATATATTTATTTCCTACGTGCAAGTATATATGCATATTTCTATTATACGCATAATGTCCCTTTTGGAAAAATCGTAATTGAAATTTATAAAAATAAAAATTAAATAAAAAAAAAAATATATTAAAATGACAAATGTATTGCTACTGAAACCCAGACGGTGTGTTGGAAAATAGACACTACCACATATTTCTACTTGGAAAAAGGAACTTTATATCAATAGACAGATACCCAGCCTCCACTTTGACTTTACCGACTTGATAGCTACCATATATTAGATACATGAGTTTTCTAAATAAGTTAAATCTTAATACCCCTAAAATAAAAAAAGATGGAATTTTCCTTAACCCCCACATTTCAAAATATCAAATTTCTCTGGCCTTATAAGTGAATCAATTTCTAGAAAGTTATTCTTAGCATCGCTTGATAATGGAACTTTGTATTTTAAGTTTAATTTATATGATTGAATTTAAATTGAAGTTTCAGTTTTGAAACATGCGAATTTTGGTGTTATGTCTGCACATATTCATACACAATCTTTATTTGGTGTTTCAGTATAATTTTCTAACCAACGGTACAACTATGACATTGAAAAATCCACCAGGTTCCCCCATATCAGAGGAAATTGCCCTCCCTGTATTTGAGCCGGACTTGTATGGAGGTGAGTTATTTCGCTTTGTACATGTTAAAAGTCATACAATACAAACTTTTGGCACTATAAAATAAAATGATTTTTACGTCCACTATAAGTTATTGATGTACGTGTGATGTCCACAGATTTCTTCAAATAAACACGCAGAATAGATGTCTGATGATTGACAATTTATGGTTAACAAACGATAGAACTGACTTCTATCTCGAGAGATTCTAGAAGTAATTATCTCCCCTGAATTGGAGCGAATTAATTGATAATAAGATACCACTGCGATTAGCAGTAATTTTTTAAAAAATCTGCTAAAAATTAAATGCTCACTTTTTATAAGTGTCAACAAACAAAAGATATTTTGAAAGATGAAGCTGAAAAATTAATTTGCAGTAGCTACACGACTAGATTCTCCAATCAGTAAGATTTGAAAATGCGTTATCATTTAGAAATTTGATTTCATTGTAAGTAAAATGTATTGTAAATGAATACAAACCAGTAATAACTAGATAGTTTGATGTGACAAAATGGTTAACAGGCAAATGAAACAGGCCGTTTTCTACTATAGGGTGCCCAGTTAAAACGCGGTAAATTCAGAAAGAGGTGAGACAACCGTTTAAAACGACTGATGTGACTGAGAAATTCAAGAAGAATTTCTGCACATTTTCGTCAATCCCCCGCGTCGGATGTTCTTCTTTGATCAGTTGACGCTCAAAATCAATGAGTTGTTTCGCCATACGAGAATGGCAGAAGAAAAGACGAAAGTTGTCTGCAAATAACCTTCAAATGACGAGTCACAAAATCGAGCAGCAATTAATCAATCATAAAAGAATCAATCACAGTTAAGGAATCACGCGAGAGTCGAATGATTATTCAAGGTTATGAATATTCAAGAAATTTATTCAAGGTCAATTACTCCTGAAAGTTAAAACAATGATAATAAAATTTGCCGCTTTTTTACTGGGATCCTTGTGTAATGAGATTGATAGGTACGTGTGAATCTGTACCAGATTAAGTTATCTATTTATATAATTTAAATGTTGTGGGGAAAATGTCACTGATACTTTTTCCACACTTTTGGAACCCAAAGTCAGGGGTCGTATTCTAAAAGAACGTTTGCGATATTTTTAAGTTGAAAATATATTCTCTGAAATTCATTGTGTCTCTTGGAGACGTTTTTCAAAAACAACTCCATTTGACGATTTAAGAATTTATTTTTTAATGACAAATAAAATTTTCAGATTAATCTAAATTATTAAATAAAACCTTCTCTGTGTCTTGTCATGATTAGTTTCTAGTATTTCCCCACCACCACACACATACACACACTTTTTTGTCCTCACATCAATTAATCATTCACAATTTTAAATTTGTTATATTTTACTTTGCACACTCCCGATTAAAAAACCTGGAAGAGAGTGGGGTGAAACCAGTTGTTTTTCCTCTTTTATTTTTCATTATGCCTAGTAATATTAAATTGAATGTTTTTAAAGCAATACTCAAGTTTTGTACTTCTAAAAATGTATTTAAATAAATAATTGTACTTTTTATATCGTTATTTTATTACAAACTAACATCTTTTTAATGGTCTTTTCTTTTTCTTCTCTTTACAGAGGCACGGTTACCCAGAGGTCAGTAACATTAAAATTTTGTATTTAAAATATCATTTCCTTCTTGGATAATATTATTTCATATTTAACACGCTTTAAAGCACATTATATCAGTATGGTCATATGATAGATTCATAGTAAACGCATTATCGCATATACTTGAGTATACTGTGCGAGTTTTATCAACTTCATGATTTTTATTTTATACGCAAAACATAAGGTGTTGCACTATACATAGGTATACTTTTCTAGAAGGATTAAAATTAATGCCAAAAATAAAAAAAACTTTTAAATAAGTTAAATGTACAAGAGGTTTTCTTTAAAAAATGCATTTCCATAATAAACTGTATTTTAAATTAAAAATGAATAATTGTTTCGTGTTTCTTTCCAATCGAAGATAAATGTTAAATTTTAACTTAAATTCATTATTTCCTTTTATTTTGTGCCTTTTATGAAAATAAAATATTGCTTTTTGTTTTCTTTTTTATTTACAGTGGGAAATATGCGAGGTAAGTACGTCAATTTGTTTATTTAAACAATGCAATATATATATTAAACTGGGGAATTATACTCCATTTGTTCTTATCCCATACCTGGATATATATATATATATATATATATATATATATATATATATATATATATAAATTTTCATCGACAGACTGATCCGCTGTATCACATCATATGTGTGGCTAGACATCCGATTGCCTCAAGTTAGGATCGGAACCCGACTGATTTGGCATCAATCGGAGATTTTTCTATTAGCTCTCAATAGAGAGAAACGTGAATTTTTACGTATTTATTTTTTAATAAACACGCCAACGACTCTGAGTGGTCGATTCATAGACGAGCTTCGCATTATTAGCAGTAGCAATCACTGTAACAATGATTGTTACAATTCGCGCTTTCCTCTAAAGTGCCCGACCGGGTTTTTTTGTTTTTTTTTTTTTTTTAGTTTTCGGGGGCGTATATATTGTCATCGACAGACAGACTATTTCGCTATATAACAGCTCATGATTTCCCCTATAAGCTCCCGGCAGAGAGTACGGTGAATTTTTACATATTTATTTTTAAATAAACACGCCAGTGACTCAGAATGCTTGATTCATAGAAGTGCTTTGCATTATCAGCAGTAGCAGCCACTGTTTACAAATTCGCGCTTTCCCTCTAAAGTGCTCGACCGAATTTTTTTTCTTGGTGGGGGGACGTATATATATATCCAAATGTGAGAAAGAACAGATGGAGTAAGATTCCAATGTTCGTAGCACTTACTTTTTTTAAAAGTGCTCAATACAAAGTAAAGCAATATTACCAGTTACTTCATCGCTTGAAGAAGTACAATCATAGTATTGAAGCATGAAAGCTTTTTCAACGTGTTTTTATTATAATCTCTTATAATAAAAAAATTATATATCAATCCAACACCAATAAAATGTTATCAAAATAAAGAATAAATGTAATAAATATATTTCATAAATAAAATAAACACAACACGAACTGACGCGTGAAGCGCGATACGTTAAAAAAAACGACATGACACGTCAAGAGGCGATGATTCAAAAACGATGAAATTGACATAACAAAATTATAAAAAATAGATAAAAATTCTTTGATGTCGACTTATGAACAATTTATTTTTAAATATGCTGCGGAAACAAATAAAATAATCAAAAGACTAGAAAAATAAAAGTTTTCTTTTATCTGTTTGAATTTCTGGGATGAAGAGTTATCATTATTTACTATTTCATAAATGTAATGAATAAATGTAACATCTACTCTGGACAGAGTTAATATTATATGATTAATGATATAATAACACCATCTCATAATAATTGTTACATTTTTTGTATGAAATGTGTATGCTAATGCAATAACTATTATTGAATAACGGTAGTTTATAACATTACTGTGGTACCGCCATAGATTCACTAAAAATGAGCATACCATGATGAAAAAATGTCCCAAACTTAATAGAAAAGTTTTTAGTTACTTTTATGCATAAGACATTATGGACAGTATTGTGTTAAAAAAAAAATGAGAAATAATGAATTTTTACAAAAATTGCTTTCATTTTTATTTTTTTTAATTAGAATAATTTATAAAATTTTAATTTTTTTAAATTTCTGTATTAATCTATACCGGTTAGGTAAAATTGTTATTAAGTAATAACTACATTTACTATTCATAAGTGGAAAGGCTTACTACAATTCAGCTACCTCAAATATTTTAAAAAGAAGTTTAAAAAAATTTTTGTGTGTGTATATACGTACCGATTTTTGTAAATACGGACGTCCATACGCGTCATTATCAGAAAATAAGAGCGATAACTATATTAAAATGTAAGACAATGCACCGAAAATGCAATAAAATATTAGATTGCGGAGAATATTTTCCTATATTTAAAAAATTACAGGGTAGTTAAAAATTATATAACAAAGGTCGCTTACGTTATATTCCATAAGTAATTTTTACAGATGTGTTCACCGTAGAAAAAATAGTTAAGTTTAAATCTGTCAATCAAGCTGCCAACCTGTCAATATCTGTCAACACCTTCCGCCGTGATAAAAATGCATTTTAGGAGATTTTAAACTTAAAGTAAATAATATTTGTTTCAAATCAGATTAATTAAGCTTTAAATCAGTTAATATTCCTCGAATAAAGTTTCAGAAAATTATATTTTATTTTTGTAAGATTTTTTAATAAATTACATTGTGATGACAGACGGCTAAAAATGGCTCTAAAATCAGCGATTTCAAAACAAAAACTTTTTTTTTCCAATAAATTTAAATTAGTTTTGAAATAGAGCAAATTATTTTGCCTATTGTAAATATTACATTTAATCTATTATTATCTTCAAATTAATAATAAAATAAAAGCTTCAAGAAATATTTTTGTTTTTAAAAATTCATGTTAAATCGTAGGCAAATCTGTGGAGGTGCCTACTTTTGACCAAATCTTTCTCTTGACAACCAGATTTTTGGAAATCGTCAGGTTTTGCGACAAATTCTTCCTTTGTATTTAAATTTATCTGCTGTAGCCTTCATCAAGTTTCATGGTGGAATTTGACAATTCTATGTTGAAAATATCAAGAAATGTTGCGATTTTGGTGTCCTGAAATTTCTTCTCTGTTTTTTAATTTATTTCTTTTTCCCGGTTGGATTTTGATTTTATAGTAAAATAAACCGATTTCAATTAATCTCCCTTTGTTCTTAACGAACAAAGGAACGAATATAGAGTTAACTCCCCTTAACATTTTGTTAGTTTTTTTCTTCTTTTTTTTTGTCTTTTTTTTTTTTTTTTTTTTTCATATTGTTTCTCAATTCGGCAATTCTATCTCCGTGACTGTCTTTATTTTCCCTTTGAAATGATAAATAATGATAAATTATTTTGTTCTCTTTTTCAGTGTTTGCTGATCCCCACTTCATGGTGAATTTACCAGAACTTGAGCTTCCCGTCTGCTTCGAGATTATAGCTGATAAAGGAGATTTTCTACTCCTTTTGGAAGACCCAGTTTCAGGTAGAGTATCTGACGACAATTTAATATTAGTAAAGGTTCGTCGAAGTAAAAAAAACAAAAAAACAAAAAAAAACACGCTGCTTCGTAAACAACTCCAGTAAGAAGAGAAATAATCAAACTAATTAAAAATAGTAATGGTAGTATTAGCCGTTTCCTTATAAGGAAACATTCGGCTTTCATTGACCGTACATCCAGTGGTTCTCGAGTTACGCTTTTCTTCAATCCCTGGACATCTGTGGAGGAACAGTGCTAGATTGTTCAACTGTCAAACTCTTGCCGCAGGGCAAAGTTTCGTCCGGGGAGGTAGACAGCCCCTGAACCCGTTTAGGCGGGTTCAAAGGGGATATTTTTGGCCGTGTCTACGGGCTCGGAATACCCAAAATAAACTAGCCTTGTGCCGCATACACCCTCGTGTTGGAGCTGTTAAATATAATAGTGTAGTATCTGTTCTCATCTGTAATGGTAATATTGGTCGCTTCCTTATAAAGAAACAGTCAGCATTCATTGACCGAGCAGCCACTGATATTTTCGGTTGAAATTTATATAAATTTATATATCTTTTTATTAAAACAAATTTTCTGGAAAATAGGTTTCTGAAATCCACTAGCTGTTATCTCTCCTACCAGTATTTGGTGGCGTGGGGGGGGGGCTTTCATTCTAACCTTTTGTTTGAATTAGCGTGGAATGTCAGCATCTTGACCGTGTCATTATTTTCTCTTCGAATTCCACATGTTATCCATTTTAGCTGATGCTTTTGCTGGAATTCCTCAAGTGATGTGGTTTCTGTTACTTGGTACTGTTCTTTGTTAATAACTCTGTAGCGCCAGTCCACAAGGTTCACAGATGGATGGTCATCGCTAAGAACTACAGGCTTCATTCACCCGAAATTGTGGGGGTAGACTATACGGATTTTTGGTGGAAAAATAAAATATGAGTGTCATGTCCACAAATTACAATACAAAACTATAAACAACGCTAAGAAATGATCTTCCCAGAAAAGGAAGAAGACCAAACTAAAGATGACAGTAACATTTATACAGTAGATACATATATTTACATATTGAAAATGAATGTTCTTTGTTGTGTCTATGAAGAGACCAGTAGTTCAATGTGATTTGCTGTAAGTGAGTCTACAAAGTTTAGAAGTGATTTTGTTGCAAGTGACTCTGCAAAGTTCGAAATGATATGTACGCCAATATGTGTACTTGAAACACACGGTAATAAAACACAGTGAACAAAGAGAAGCTGAGACAAAACTTACTTTCATCGTGCCGCTGTAGGTAGATCGTTACTGACTGACGCGTTGTCATGGTAACGTGTGTCGAGGCTGGTCGGGTTCGCTGTCTTTCGCCGACTGAGTCGAACTATACTCCTTGGTACTTTCATCGCATTAATTTAAGTCTACTAGTAGATTGGCAACTAGGCCTCACCATTTTTGTGTTGAAATAGAGAGATGTAACTGGGCATTTTATTCTAGCAGTTTCTTTTGTCGCACTTCTCGCCTGCGGAACACTCTTCCAATTTCTTGCTTCGCTGTTATCTACACTTTTCAAAAGATTTAAATGCAACTTTCATCACCATCTTCTATTTTCGTGTAACCTGTTCTTTTATTGTCCTTTATCCTCACGAAAATCTTCTTTTACTCCCAGTAACCACTTGGGTCTTATGACATTATCGCTTTGCTTCGGGGTGAAATAAATAAATAAATAAAAGATAAAGTACTATATATCCTATAGCAACAATACCTCATTCTTCATCAGATATAACTCTTATAAAATTTCAAGTGTTTTTTTAAATCTGACCAGTTTTGACACAGCTCAAAAACTTTAACTTGGGATCAATCTCGGCCATGCTAACCATGGGATATATAAAATCATGTGTGTTTGTGTATCGTTTGTACTTTCTCTTCTAGGAGTTCGAGTAACTGCATCCGTTGTTGAGAGTCGCGCCCGTAACAAAGATGGCCGTCACAAAACCTACCTGGGTGAAGTGTTCATCGCCACGCACGATCTACAGGTTCGAATCTCTCCTTACGACATCCGTTTGAATGGACTTTCTCTCTCCTGGAAGATAGAGAAATCTCTTGGTACGCATCATGTCCGCGTTGTGATCACCGGAAGTAAATACCATGTAGCAGTGATCATCAATAACTCAACCCAAATGCTTATCCAACGCTATTTGTACGCCGTTAAAAATCCGAAGCAAGTCAACTATCTGAATTTCTATGTCACCGACCATACAGGCCTATCCACAAAAACTACTGGGCTTCTAGGTAAGAAATTCAATGAGTATTTTTCTCATTCTTTAAATAATGAAAGTGATTGTACGATTTCCAACCTAATTCTAATTACAGATTTTAAAAAAATGGGTCGATATCTACATCAAACGAAGAATACACCTATACACAATAAACAATAGTACACGCGATCCATCGCTTAATATACTGGGAAAATGGTCGATTCCCTGTACTGCACCAGCAAGTACCCCACTGTTGCTATGTTCTCCCTTCACAAGAGCCAGATCAAACCAAAATTGGAGCACTGTTGCCATATATGGACAGAAACTGCCCAGTCTTCCCTTTCCACCCTCGATGTCCAAAAGCGTCTCCGCGTCCTTGTAGGTGATGAATTATTTTCCACTATGCAACCTCTTTCTTACAGACGAGGCGTTGCAAGTCTCTCGCTGCTCTATCGCGCTATTTCGGATGAACTACTCTCCTTAGTTCCACCAGTCCTAACCTTCACGACTAAGACCCGCCATGCTACGCCCATTGTTGTGAATCACCCTCATTCCCCTCATGAGATGTAAGTTCCACTCGAGCAGCTTCTTCCCACGAACCACTGTCTTGTGGAACTGACTACTACGAAGTTGCTCCCCCGATCACTACAATCTTAACCTGTTCAAGTCTAGGGTTAACCATTATCTTCCACACATGTCCACATAAGCTGTTACTCTTGCTCTATAATCCTCTACCTCGAGAGGCCCTCGGGCCTTGTACATGATAAACATCACTGTAAAAAAAGATTTTAAAAAATGGGTCGATATCTACACCAAACGAACAATACACCATTACCTCAATATATTTCAATCTATTTCTTTTCAATGGGGAAAATATCTTTATTATAAAATCTCTTTATTATAAATGTATACGGAAGGTGGCACTTGCAAATTTAGAATATAGAATATTGAACACAGTATCGTTTGTTAGCGGCATATTAATTCCTTATGGGTCATTTAAAGCCGAAATATAATTTTCTTGGGGACAGTTATAATTTTTTTTTACAAAAATGTATTGCTGGTAAATTTTTTACTATGAAAATATATTGCTTGTATTTTTACTATAAAAATGTTTATATTTTCATAGCGTTTTGACCCATGATGCTACCCCCCCCCCCAAGGTTAGGATAGACCTAGGAACAACCGGAATTAAGAGATGCTTCTATGCTCTTCAAAACCTCCCGATCAGAGTCCTTGTTGCCGGCCGGATGTTGTTTATCGTCATATCCAGTACGGTTGAACACAGTAGATTTATTAAGTGTTAAATTGCCTTCACACCGACCCTGAAAAGGAAAGTTAGTGGATGTTACAAAAGCTGTCTTTAGTCACATTTTCGGTACGTCATATTGCTAATCACGCCAAAAACACCGGTTACCGTTCGATCGCTGGAGTTAAGCAATGTCGAACCAGGTCAGTACATAAATTGAGGACCGCTTGGGAAAACCGGATACCTACAATACGAAATATGTTTTAGCTTTAAATAACTCTCAAGGGTTTGATACGCCGTTAAAAATCAATCAATCAAAGTCATGTTGCTAGAAGCTATGTCTAATCACACGTCAGAAATGCATCTTCTCTTAACGGCGTCTACACAAGAATAATTGTCTCTGTACAAACTGTACTTCCTGACCTGCCGTTTCACATGAACGTTCAAGTGCGAGGCATACTAATTGAGGGGAAAAGGAAAGAGGAATGGGAAAGGAAGGGGAGGGAAGGAAAGTTAACCCAGTAACATTTTATTTAGGTATAAACTGACGGAAATTTCGTTTTAGAAATTATCATCTCATTTTCTTTATTTCAACTCAAAATTTCAATTTTTTTTCCTTTCAAATCACTTAAACTGCTATTTTAGATATTTTTGCTTAAATCTATTTATATAAATAGATCATGTTCGAATAGCTCTGTATGCACACACACACACACACACACACAGATTTGGTAATAAAACCCTATAAATTGAACCTCTCTAATTTTATTACGGCCAGAGTTTCCTACTCTTATTTTTAAAAAATGGTTTTAAACATAGAATAATATTATTCTAATTTAGTTTTATGATAATTCTTATTTTATTTTACGGCAATTTTTTTAAAGATTTTTTGTAGCCATGTATAATACGCACCTCTGATTTTGATTATTATTTTTTTGGAAAAATGCGTATTATACATGGATAATTACGGTATATCTTGGATATATCGATGTCGCCTTGATTATTTAACCTGGAAACATTGATGTAAAAATATTGGTCCCCTCTGGTTAAACAAAGTATTGATGAATTAACCTTTTAAATAAAAAATAATAATTCATTATTGTACCGGAAACGTAATTGGACGAGTGGTACCGCGACAAGTTCTGATGTTGTCATTCCATCTGTCATAAACGCACAGGCCTTAGTCAGTATTTGGCTTACATTCATTTTGTCCATTCTCAACGACCCTCAGTGTGTTTGCTTCACACAGTCCGGCTGTGCTGGCACCAAAGCACATGCTGTACAAAGTGGGTGAATATTGCGAGGTTGCGTGTGACTAAAGCGGAATTTTTGTGACTTTCTGAGAAATTTCATTCGTTCTTTTAAAATTATCTTTTCTAAACATTTTATTAATTAGATCCAATGATAAATTAGAATTCGAAGTATATTGGAAATTACCAAATAAGAATAACTACATACAGGGCCGGTACGTACTAGCCCCGAATCTCCGACCGTGGGCTAGGCAAGCCTGGTTGAGAGCCCCGAGCACTGCTTTGTGACTCACGTCATCAATATTTTCTTCTTTTTTTTTCTACCTACATTTATATACGCAACAAATTAAACTAAGCACAACTAACTAGGATAAAGAACTTTTGCGGATTTTAACGTAATTCTGAGTGGGGGTTCTAATCCGTGAATTTGTTTTGCTCATGTTAAGTATTAAAATAAATAAAAAAAAAACACTATATAAAATTCATTATTTTTTATCTATAATGTTGAATGTGTTAAAATTATTCAATTTTTTAGCAAGAAAAATCTCATGTTAAAAATTGCCACAGAACATTGATGTAATGATTTATTATGTCTCGAATTTGTATTTAGATACATTGCATTATTTAAAATTCTCCAATTGAATTGTTCACCTATATTGCATATGATCCATTGTTATATTTAATTAGGTTAAAATAAAATTTGTATCTTATATGAAAACTACCACATGATGCCTTATTGTAGATTAGGGGGTGAATGAGACCCTTGCACCGGCCCTGACTGCATACACTTTTACTCATATGACAATAAAACCAAAGCCAGTATAATACTATTTTTTTAACCCAGAACATTTAAGAAATGTAACCTTCTCTTATAGAGACAGTTAGTCAGCTATGTGCCATGTGTGACACACGCTTAGGCGATCATGTATCTTTCGATTTTTCCCCGCAGTAGATTGCCATTTCTTTCTGGTCTTTCTGAAGTAGACTAGATGCCATTCAAAGTTATAGAACCCGGTCTGTCCTACTATTTACCAATAGCTGGTAGGAGAAGAGGATGCATATTTTTCCCAAGTGAATATAATGGATTTGACTGGAATTCGAACTCGGCTCTCCGATTCCACAATACGCTATCCATTACTCCACCGTGCCTCCCATGTTTAAAATTCAATAATATTCTACTTACATCATACTAAACGCTAAAAGAAAGTTTCATAAAATACGCACTCATAGTAAATAAATTTGTATTTTCGAATAAACATGGCTGCCACTTAATGTGGCCATTTTGCTTTATTTCTGTTCTTCTCCAATTCCCTTATATAATTAAGTATAGTAGGAGGTTTTATGATAATTTTGCGCAAAAAGGGTTCGCTCTATACACAGCAAATGTTTTTGAAAATGTTAAAAAAACATGCATTTTCGCGCCGGTGATCAGTTGCACTATACGCAGGTAAGTTTTTCGTTGTTGGTAGTGGAGATGGGCGGTAAAAATAGGTATCTCCACTAATTCGCTAAAAAAAGAGCATAACTTTATGAAAAAAGGTGCCAAACTTGATTAAAAACAAATTTTTTAAATGTTTATGTTATTATTAAGAGAAAAGACCAAAGTATTTTTTGATTATGTTTTTACATTTTTAATCCTTCCTAGCACGTCTGAAATTTTAGTTAAAAATCTTGTTTTTTTTGGGGGGTTAGACAACAAAATTTCCATAAAATCGATGATATCCGCCATTTTTGGGAAATTTGTAAACAAAAGTTAAATTCTCCGTTATCTTGTAAAAATCAATTATACCTTTTTCAAACAAAGAGTCACTCAGAGAATTCAACACATGCTCGCAGAACGAAAACGCAAAATTTTCTGATGTCAGTTTCTTACTCTTAGGGGAAACAACTCTTAAAACATTTGATATTATGTCAAGTACGTCCATCCTTATATTTGGAAAAAACGTTTTTAAGAAACAGCGTAAAATTCTTTTTAAAATACATGTTTATCGCAGATTGTATTAAGCTTTCAAATTTGCGATCTGTAAAAATAATTATTTTTAATAATAGCATTTCCAAAAAGACACAGATTCAAACTTAATTTTTAAAATATCTAAAACATTTATCACATTTTGTATTTAAAATTGAAAAAAAAGAAAATTCTTGTAAAAATTCATTTTTCATCGGAAAAATATTTTGGCTTCAAAGAATATTGTCCTTAACATATATTATTCATAAAAGCAATTAAAAGCTTCTCTAATTAAATAATGTTTTAGATTTATTGGGTTTTGTATTTTACAATTCAAGCTGAATTTTGGGTAGCTGTGTATTTCGATTTTACTAAAAGAATCGATGATTTATATTCCTCAAAGTCTTCCACTTTTAACTAATATTTTCACTAAAAGGCATGCCATCGCATTTCTCCAGTTTTCATAAAGTTAAGTAAGTGGTGGGGTAACAAAAAAAATATAATTTTACTATGACTTTCTAAAAAACACGTTTAAAATAATTTCATTTATTGGTGAATAAGTTCTGAAAGTTTCATTAAAATCTGTCAATTATTTGATTTTTGCAAGAATTTCCATTAAGTTCGGGACCTTTTTTTTATCATGCTATGCTGTTTTTTCGGCGAACTAGGGAAGAAGCCTAGTTAAAATGCATGCATTTCCGGTGACAAACCTAGTCTATTTAATACGCTCTATTGCAGGGGTGGCCAATCTTTTGATTCCATGCGCCAATATTTTGTATGATTAATTTAAATGCGCCACACAAACATTCACTTCCTTTCAGTACGTGCTGTAATATGGACATATTTTAAAGTTATAATAAAATCTATTTATTTGAAAAATATATGCTTATGACCAGGGGCGTATCCAGGAGTTTTGAAAGGGGGGGGGATCATCAATCAATGCTTTGACTTTTTTTTTCTCTTCAGATTTTTGCGGCGGGGTGGGGGCATGGCAGAGTTTATAACGTTTACATAGGCAAAATAAACATAAATAACTTTAATATGGCTTTTAATTCTGCTTTGTTTTCGCCAAACCAGCAATAGGAGTTAAATTCGTAACTGAAAGCAACAAACAATTCTTCAAGTTGGAATCGGACAGTCGCGACCTTTTCATCAAAAGGATGCAATGCGCCACTTGTAAGCATCCAATGCGCCACTTATGGCGCATGCGCCACAGGTTGGCCATCCTTGCTCTATTGTATCATATATATTTTTTAAATTTACTCTTTAATTTTATATAATTTTACATTATTTTTTATTATGTAAATTTTTATATTATTCAAGTCATTGTCTACCTCCAGCCGAAATCTTTGTTGTAAATTGTGTTTCTAAATTTAACTATCTTTTTTTTTTTTGCTTTTTTTTCTCCATTAGGTTATTTTGCCCATGCTCATGTCAACAATATGTCTCTGATGAAGTTAAAAGAACCACTTCCTCGTACATTGAACCTTACTGCTGCCAGCCGAGACACAGGCAAAATTTACCCATTTACTGCCCACCTGGTTGATCGTCTCGATGTGTTCGACATTAAGCAAACAGTTCGGTGCTGGAAGATTTTACCCCACGAGAACTTTGCTCTATTTGGGGGCATTCAAACGGGAAGGTTTTTCTTGGATGATCTGTAAAAAAACAAAACTTCGGAGCCTTTTATATTTGTTTCAATTTGGGTTTAATAAATAAATAAAAAAAATGTTTTTTTTTTTTTTTAGTGAATGGAGACGACTGAGATAAGGGAATTATCATGTATAAGAATAATATATGACAAGCATTGAACAAGAATAACAAAAATGGATAGATGGGTGGTTAAATGTTGTTATTTCAATAAGTTCTCTGAGTTAATGACTAAACTGAATGAATTAATGAATATATATAAATGTATATTTTAGTGGACATTGAATGTGGAATGTCTGGGTCGATATTTTAACGTTTCCTTTATGTTTAAATTTGATTAAGTTTCGTTGTTTTTTCGTTTCGTTTCTTTTTAATTCCACGTTTTTATACAGTAATTCTTTCATTTCTGTTATGTTCATTCCAATAGCAAATATTAATGTAACGGTATGTATTTCTTTTATGTTTCGTTCTAACCGTTTGCCTTTCATATTCGTCTGCTGCACTTGAAGTTTTATTCTGACAGTCTGGAAGACGATCATTGCTGATTCAGTTTTCCTCCCGTTTGTGCCAAATAATATTTAACACTTCGTCACAGAAGTAACTGAGTTTTTTTAAACGACTTGATATTTGTTTTTTATTGATCGGAATTGACTCCAACGTGTGAATAATGTCATCCACGGCGCTATGCAGTTTTTGCTGAAACTGATAACTAAACAGAAGACTACTGTTGTTTTCTTGGCCTCAGTCTATGAAAATACTATTGAGCTGGGCTCTATCGTTGTTGCTGATACTCGGAACTAAACAGAAAACTACATTTGTCTTCTTGAATTAAATCTATGACAATGCTATTGAGCTAAACTGTATTGTTTGTCTAAAATTATTACTGCCGTTATGTTTCAAATTAGTAATTGTTTCTTACACACTAGCTTTTACAATTTTAAAGCTTTAGAAATAGGTCATATTCCAGAAAACAAAAAAGGAATATATATTTAAAATCAAACCAAAAAAAAATCAGATTTTAGATCTTTGTTCATTTTCCAAGAGAATCAGATAAAACAATATAGAATGATGAATCTTTGAAACTTAATATTCTATTTACCCCCCCCACACACACACACACACAATTTTACCATGATTTTCTAGCCCTCTCTCAAATTTTATTTGGGGATCTTGGCTTGAATGGTAGTTACTTGGGTTAGATCCGGCAAAAAAAGGGATTGGATCGTTTCGCTATTTTTTCCTTTTACTCTTAACTCACTATTTCTTTTCTTTCTCTTCTCTCTCTCTCTCTCTCTTATACACACACACAGTTTACTCATATGCCCATCGATTATAATTAGTGATTATTTCAAAATGAATTTATAATTATTTGCAGGTTGTTAGAAGTGATATAAAGTTAGTAATGGGTTTAATAGCTAACAAATGAATAAGATTAATATAGATTTTAATTCTTGAAGTGATATTCCTAATCATGTATAACTTTTCAGCGAAATAACGTGGGTCTCTTTATACCAAGTTTTAAACGACCAAATATTTGGAAAGAAATATTTGTGGTCACCTCCTCAAATAGTCAATGTTTATTTTTTGTAATACGGATAAGGGTTCAATTTTCACCAATGTTAGCTTTCTATTCTGGTAATATTATGAAACAAAAAGGCGGGATTTTTGTTCCTAATCGATTTAGTTTCATTATTTGGTCGTATTCCGAAGCCAAAAACTTTACAAATTTTATTGATTTTATTCCAAATCTTTTGAATGAAGTCATTGATGTGATATACAATGGAATTCAGAAAGTTTCAACTCCTCAATCGTCTTGTTTTTTTGTTGTTTTTTTTGTTTTTGTTTTTGTTTTGTTTTGATTTTTTTTCTTTCTTTTTTGTTGGGGGTGTTCTTTAATAGCATTTTTGTCTCTTTTCTTAAAGGAAAAAAAGAATGTAAAATTTCAGCAAAAACAAATTCGTGCAAAACATTTATGTCCACTTAAATGCCTTTTTTGCATTTGTTAAGTACATTGTTTTATTTTCAATAACGCATACGTTTAGATTCTATTTTGAATAATCAAAACGGCCGTCGTAAAATGTTATTTTTATCGTTTTTGTCTGCCACGTGTTTCATGTTGCCTAATATTTGCTTGTCGGATCAGAACATCACACGAGCTTAATGGCTTTTATGTCTTACTAACAAATCCCCGGTAATATCTTTGGTCATTTTATACCGGAATTATTTACTTTGAAGTATTATATCCTCTTCAAAACGTAACTATTTTGCACATTACTGGCTTCCATAACAGTCACTAACAATAACAGTGAGAGACTTAAAATAGCTGTCTTTCAATCTTGTAAAAACTATCTTTTGTGGATATAGTTTAAATTGTAATTTTATATTAAGTATTTTTAAGAGTTTATAATTCAGGGTGATGTGGCGAGTGAAAATTCTTTATTACACTAAATAATGATTAATGTTTTTTTTCCTTGTTATTTCGCAATAAGACTAATGCATTAAAAATATAAAAAAAAAACATAAGATTTGTTGTTAGGATAATCTTATTATGGGTCACGTCCTCTGTTATCACTTTGAGATTTTAATTAAAAAAAACTCAATTTCACTTTTCTTTATGAAAAGGTCAAATTTCGGTGTCAGTTTGGCATTAAATGTAGACATTCCTTTGGGCCGTCTCTTAGTTTATGGCCGGATAGGTTTATAATATTTTTCATCGGTATTGGGAAGTAGAATATTTCTTTGGTATAAGTTAAGTTCACAAAAGAAAGCACGTATTTGCATACAATAAATATACGATAAAAATATTACAAAAGTACCTTTTTAGTCTTGTTTAATAAAATATGCACACGCTCTTACAATAGGTACTAATTTGATATAAGTCAAGGCGCGTAATTACGCCAAGTGTATTTATATATTTTTTGTTTGGAATGTCTGTGAATTTTTGCTGTGATAGTTATCTTTGTTTGAATTGGTGACACCAGTTGACAGTGCCTTTTTTATGACAATAGCAGGCTGTACTTAGATATAAATAAACGGATCTCCCAAGAATTACTGCATATTAATGACATTATTAAGAATATACAGAAAGGAAAGACTAATATGGGAAAAATTAATAATAGTAAGGACATAACAAAATTTTGACATCGCGGTTAACGCAGTATAAATATAACATTATACTGACCAAAAAGTGGGGGTTCGGTTTTCTGTTCGTAGTTGATAAAACTATCAATTAAAAATCGTTATTTTTGACGGCGTGGGTAAAATATAATCCCAAAAAATATTGGCAATGGACAAAATAAAATAAACAATATTTGTAAAGAATTAATCGATCTATTTTTAATTCGACCTTTTTTATGATTTCAAACGTTATTATAGTGGATACTTCATATTTGAATAGACGACCTATATTTTTTTTTTTTTTTTTTTTTTTAGCTATTAAGGTTTTGCCTGTTGCGATATTCTCCGTAGCTGAACGGTAAAGGACACTGGATAAACGGTTGCTTCTCTCTACAAAAGGGGACACAGATTTGATCCCTATCGGGTAATGCATTTTCTTTACTAGGTTTTCTCGAATGCGCAAGACGATAGCCGTAAAACACACTGTTTAATAAATAAAAATGGATTTTCTATTTCAAATACGAGCAGTCCGACGTTTGAAGTAATAGAAATTCCAAATATGAATTTAAAATAAACTATAATATATAAACTATACTATAATATATACAATATTTTCGTAATTGTTCATAAATTCTACTTTTACTTACCATCGTGTAGAATGATAAATTTCTGTTTTAATTATCGAGTTTTACCATTATTTTCTGTTTTACTGACATATCAAATAATACTGCTTTTTTCAAACCATTTTGTTTTCTTCCCATTGCTATATTTTGGATTGTGATAAGCAATTAAATCTTCAATATTTTCTGCGTTTCGCAACCAAATTCGGGATTGGAATTGCTTTTTATTGCATCATTAAATAATAATAATAATAATCATCTTCAGGTCGAGAATTCTTCTCGGATACCCCTGACTCGTTCCTTCAAACCATCTCTGTCAGACATCGCCATCGGCAAGTCCTCCAAATGGCATCCAGGGTCATCTACAAGTTGGTCAATGTAGGTGTGATGAGGTCTTCCAACCGATCTTTTGCCGTGCAATAGGTTCCATAGGAGGGTGTCACTCACAAGTTCTGAGTGACCAGCTAGCCGAAGCATTCTTTCTCTTAACGAAACTGAGATAGGAGGAAGGTGTCCATACAGGCGTTTCTTTGTTGGATGTTCCTTCAATAATAATAATAATAATACCACTTTAAATAGGAAATAATCACTTAAAGAAGTGTCGGCATTACTTGAAAAGACTGATCCACTCATAAAAAAAAATAGAGAAAATTATTTCAGAAAATATTTTTCTTGATTAGTATACGTTTTAGACTTTCCTTAGGCCGCGACACTTGTCGGAATCGAAAAATAATGCTTTGTTATCAATTGGTGGGGTCCTGTATACAGTGTCTAGTTAATTCCTGACTTTTACAGAGTTATTGGCCTTAGCAGTTTTGCCGGGGAAAAACAGACTTTATTTGAGGTGAAGTTCCAGAAAGAATTCTCTTCAATAACGAACAGACGGATAAGTAAAGAACAAATATTTACATCAATAAATAAAATTAGTTATCCGTTTATTCCTAATTTAAGATGAATAATTGTGGACCTCAAATGTTTGTTCATGTACTTTCAGAAAAAATCCCATAAAAAAAAAGTTAAAAATGTTTAAAAAAAAATAAAAATAAAAAAAAATTTTAAATGTAAAAAAAACAAAAAAACATATGCAGATATTGATGCCGTTAGAATATTTTCAAATGGAACATTTGTAAATAAGAGTTAAGTGACTTAGCCTAAGATCAATAACACTACAAAAGTTAAGAACTGTATCGATATTACAAGCAGGATCCTCCCTCTTGTAGCAAATCAATATTTTTTTTTTATTCTAACAAGTGTCGCGGCATAAGTAAAATATTAAAAAAAGTGATAATTATTTCCTAAAGAAATTTTCTTTTTTCTTTTCTTTTTCAAGTCATTTCACCCCCTCCCAATCAAAGCAATAAAGCCACTAAGACGCAAGGGTTTAAATGAGTGTGAGAGAATATGAGAAAAAAATTATTAAAGAGAGAAAACAATAAAAGAACAGGAATTAAGAAGACAAAAATATAACGTTTGACACTGCATTTACATTTTGGAAGATCAAAGTTTGCTGGAAAGCAAGAAGCTGATAGTAAAATTCCGCAATCAAAAAGTCCGAGAGAAGGAACTGTTTGCATAGAACTTATGATTAGCCATTTCAACTGTAAAATGATGGGACCTATCTGCCAGTCTAGTACTGAGCTTAAATTTGAATTTCCATATTATTTCTGAATGGACCAGTCTATTCAAGTAGTGCCGAAGTATCTATTATAATATGATCTGTTATTAAGTGCCGAAGTATTTATTATATGATCTGTTATAAAGTGAACTACTATGGTTTAGATTATGTTTTTTCTATCTTCTGGCCGGGATAAAAGCGTAGTATCTGTTCTCTTCTTAGCTAAGATTGGAGAAGGTATCCGAGCCGGAGATTCCAACACTGGAGCAGCATCTTCTTCATTGCACTAAGAGAGGCGGGGTTGGCGTAATACCGACGCCAGCGTGACAATGGTTGCGTGCATTGGACAATTTTTGTCGTTAGTCACATCCTAACTTAGTGGGAAGACCATGGTAATACCTTATTCTAGCAATTGAAAACATTAAGCATGAGAAATTTTTACCTAATGAATAAAAGGTACAAAGGTAAAACCATCCTTCAGCTGGAAATGCTGGTGTCATTACTTCTACAGGGGTGACCAAAAATAACTTGTTTAACTCATTAACGTTTGCTGTTCCAAATATGCGATGGTTCTCATTAATAGGCTATAGTAAGAAATCCATAATTAATATTGTTTTTTCATAAACCTGTAATTAACTTTTATATTTCGTTCCGGCTTTTACGTTAGGCTTTAGATGGTTAATATAAGAACTACCGACAATAAAGTTCAGCTGTTTTAGAACCGCATGATATACACAAAATTTACACACGTTTTTTACTGTTGCATATACATTTTGCTACAAAACATTTATATAAATGTTTACTAATACATATCCGCAGTAATACTAATTCAAATTATATATATATATATATATATATATATATATATATATATATATATATATATATATATATTATATATATATAAATCATAGTTAAAAATCAGTTACCTCATTCGAAAATAGCTATTTCGATCCACAAGATTTTTACTTGTAGGTCTTGTCAGCTCAGAGATATGAAGAAAAAATCTTTTTTCTTCTTCATATCTTTGAGTTGACAAGACCTATAAGTAAAAAAAATCTTGTGGGTCGAAATAGCTATTTTCGAATGAGGTAACTTTGGATTTCTAATCTATGTAATTTATACGCTCTGTTATAATAAATACATTGAGCTCTTTTTGTGGATCAGTCTTTACTTTTTTATATAAATTTAAGGATTAACTTGGATTACTTACCAACAATATATATATATATATACATATATATAATGTTAAATTTTAGCAATTATTAGGTCCAGTAATCACAATGTGCGCCTATATATCAAATACCTTCAAAATCTCCACTGAAGATTGTTTTTTTTTAAATATACGTATTTTTTAATCATTCCACCCCAAGCAAGGTGATAACGCCTCTAAGACACAAGGGGGGGTTACTTGGGAGTGAAAGAGAATGAGAAAACTATAGTGAGAAGAAAGGATAATAAAAGAACATGATTCAGAAAGACAGTTCTTACAGAAAATAAAAATAAATGACTTGGATTCTATTAAAAAATTAGACTGCCAAAAATCAAAATAATAATATTAATAATAAAGCTTGTATTTTTTATGCTTTGCCTTTCTAAATTAACTGTGATGAGAAAAGGAACACAGCTAATATATTACCACGAGCCGCACATTAAATGCCATAGAGCCGAATGTGGCTCACGAGCTGCACAATGGTCAACCGTATTCTCTCGCAAGCTTTTAGCTTCTGCACTACGCTATTGTCACGAGTATTTTTATGTGTGCCTTTGTGTAGTTTTGTTTGTTGATTTATTTTTTCATTTGTCATTAGTCGTTTTGAATCCTTGCTTTAATGATAATTACTATTAAAAGTAATATTTTTGCTTTATTTGACCTGCATGCATGAAGAGCATATGCATATATAAAACCATGCGCCATTAATATTTAGACTTTGCCTCCAATGATATGAGAAAGTCAACACTGCGTAATAGGCTTGTATCAAAATGGAAAGTAAACGTTACGCCATTTTGTAATAACGTTTTTATAACTGCATGCGTTCACGCTTTTTAGTTTATAAACACGTGTCTACTTTTTTAAATGATCAAATTGAGGCTGCAATCGAAATGCAGAATACAATGCTTATTTTATTTTTAAAAAGCCAATAAAACGTCGCATGTATCTTATTCATTCTTATTCATCATTCCCCACGTTTATTGTATATCTTCCAAACCAGTTACAGTAATTTTGTCTTGTATGTATGCGTTTGTGTGTGTCTAGATGTAAAGCTGTGTAATCTTAAAGGTGGAATACTAGTTTCTGTCAAAATACTTGTAAAGAATAACGTGTATAAAAATGTGATACCAATAGAGGAATGATACTACAAATACATTTGAATATTTTATCAATAAACCACACTATTATATGCGTTTCATATTCATTACTTTCATTTGCAGCGCCATTTTTATAAGAGTTGCCTATTTCAATACACAAACGCTCAATTGTAGACACATACTATAAAGTTAATAAAGTTTATGAAATACTTTTCTATAGATTTTTTTACTCTGTCAAACAATACTTACATTCATACACATATACGTCCATTTTTTTAATGTGAAAAGATATACCTTAGTTTTAAAGCTTCAACAAATACGTGAATAAACTTTTTATAAAACTTTAATTAAACTCGTGTTAGAGAAAGATTGATTTAAAATGAATAGCTATAATTAACATTGCAATAATAATAATTTTTTCTTGACATGATGGTCTAATTTGAACAGCTTAAATATTATAAAATATTTAAAAACAATGATAAATTGGTTGTCAACTTGATACTTTTTCAATTACTGGTTTATAACACAAATTTTAAAGAACAGAAGTAATTGCATGGGCAATAAACAAATTCAAAATAAATGTTGTTGCTTTTTATTTTTCTATTTGACTGCTGTTTTACCGATCATATAACAATCCCAATGACACACATACACGACTTACGGCCACATTTTTATTTGACTGCTGTTTTGCCGATCATATAACAATCCCAATGACACACATACACGACTTACGGCCACATTTTTATTTGACTGCTGTTTTGCCGATCATATAACAATCCCAATCCCAATGACATTTTTATTTGACTGCTGTTTTGCCGATCACAATCCCAATGACTTACGGCCACATTTTTATTTGACTGCTGTTTTGCCGATCATATAACAATCCCAATAACACACATACACGACTTACGGCCACATTTTTATTTGACTGCTGTTTTGCCGATCATATAACAATCCCAATGACACACATACACGACTTACGGCCATATTTTTATTTGACTGCTGTTTTGCCGATCATATAACGATCCCAATGACACACAGACACGACTTACGGCCACATCACGTTGACGCACTGGTTCCAATAGGATCACTGAAGTTCAGCAACGTCGGGCCTGGTCAGTACTTAGTTGGGTAACCGCTTGGGAATGATATAATGGATAATGTCTCGGAATTGTTCATTAGAGAGTAGAGTTCCAATTCCAGTTGGGTTCATTATACTCACTTAGAAAATTATTATATTTATAGTGATGTGGAGCTTAAGGATTAAATGAACAGATGATTTATTCACATCATGAAGATTAATAAAGGATGATAATGACTAGGTCGGGTAATTTCAACAAAACAAGATAAAGAATAAATTCCCGAATTTACACGCTTGAAATAGTATCAGTAATTCGTTTCAGGAAAATAAATCAGAATTCTTAAAGTCTGTTGTTTTAACCTATTGTCATGAAGAGAAAATGTTTATACAACAGATTAAATGATCTGGCACAAAATAATATTAAAAAATGTTTAAGACAAAGATAAGAGAGTTTCTTGCTCACCAAAAGGATAACGAAGAGGGATAGTTTGAAATACTTAACTTTCTGTGATTGCTGTGAAAAAAATTCTTTGAAGTGCTGCGTGCTGGTTAGAGGCCGATAATATAATTAGTGAATAATTTTACACTGGCGAGAACTTCAATGCTGATCTCGAGGAACTGAAACGAAACATTTCACATGACTTCAAATACTCTTATTAATTTAATTTTCTCCTCATTTTATATCAAAGGGAATTTCATATAGGCTCGCGAATTCCTTTCCTTATTCTTCTCAACTCACCGGTCAATTTCTGGGAATGCAAGGTTTTCATTGGTCCGAAGAAAATTTCAGACAGGTTCGCGAATTCCTTCTTCTTCCTCAGTCCTCCTAATTTGAAGGGTGTGAGTAAGTTATTATTATTTCGCACTCACTACATATTTACTTTGGAAAGGTATGAATTCACCTTTTCGTCCCCCCCCCGCCCACTTAGCTATCATTAAAACATTATTATCTCCAAAAAATAAAAATAAAAAATAAGATAAAATTGAGTACAAAATATTTAAGTTTCGGCATTAAATAACCCATAGAGTTGTTGATATGTCGCTAAACAAAATTAACCAACCACCCCACAGGCAGCGGAGTTGACGTCTATGAGAAGGGAAGCGCATGCTCACTCAGAGCAATATTTTATATTCCGCAACAGAAACTTCAGAAAGGCCAGAGTATACACGGCTGAACAGTTGTGGCAAGACGGAGGAATAAAGCTTTTAATCATTTCACCCCATGCAAGGCTTCAAAGCCACTAATATGCAGAGGGTTACAGAAGACAGCCGAAACGAACTTATATACAACAGTTTAAAGATAACTGTTCATAATCTTGATCTATTCTGTTTTTTAATGATTGACTGATTTCATTTTATACGGCTTATCAACCCTTTGCAGGTTATTTAAAGACAGAAAATATTTTAGATAGTAATATTTTTTGGTGGTGGAAGACAATAATGATTTAAGAATACATATCTTACTAATTAACCCATAGCTGGGGGAGAAGTGATTGATTCATATCTTTCCCAAAGGTATTTGCGCGAAAGTGAATAAAACGAACTATACACACACACACACACACACACACACACACACACGCGTGTGTGTGTGTGTGGTGATAGAGGTAGGTTTAAGGATACCACTACAAGTTTGTTGATGCAGGTGGTCATCATTTTACCTTGTTCTGTGAAGAGCTGGTTGTACGCATCAATTCTGTTGGTTGCGGTTCTTCCAGAACGTACGTCACTGTCGACATTTTGTTAGCCGTTTTGAAAACGATTGAACCACTCGTGTTCGACTCATGCATGTCTCTCTATACACACTTTCTACAACTTTGCGCAGCTCTCTGCGCAGATATCACCAAACGTTTTTGCAAAAGTTGATTGTCTGCTCAATTGTTTCTACCATGTTACGAATGGAACCTCTGTGGTGTGGTGAAACAACACTCAATACACTTTCTTCCAAGCACTTCGAGCGAGAATGCGCTACAGAGTTCAAGGTCAATCTGTGGTAAGCGGTTTCACTCAACGTACTCTAGGTCCGTTACCGTAGCAACAGTCCTGATACTTTTTGTTCAAACTTCCTATGAAGGACTTTTTTTTTCTTTTTTTTTTTTAATCATTTAACTCCATGCAAGGTGATAATGCCACTAAGACGCAAAGGGTTTACTGAGAGTGGGAGAGAATGAGAAGACTTTAATGAGGAGAAAAAACAATAAAAAAAAACAGGATTTTAAAGATTGTAGGTGACAGGGAAGCAAGAAGCCGGAACAGAGTTCCAGAGGTTACCAGAGATATTTATTTTGCAGCGTTGGTGTTACCAGCTTGAGAAGGTACTTTATATATGTACATTGGGTACGCCTCCCGTGTCACAAATAACATTTAGGAACAAGAATCTAAGATAAATTTTGTCTACTCAGTATGGGAAATTTTATTCAACAACGACGAATAATTAAAGCGTAAAGTGAAGACAGAAATGAACACTAAGACAGTCAATCATCAAATGACAAAAAATGGTTCCTGAATCGGGGGATCCGCGCATCCTTTCGGTTATTAAATTAATCCCTGGAAAATAAATATTTAA